AAATAACATTAAAAACTCTACCAGCTGAACATCTGGAAATAACATTAAAAACTGTATCACAAATGGAATTTTACTTCAAGTTTAAGCTGGAAAAAAGGATTTACATTAATGAGTAGTAATTTGTTGTTATGACATCTTTATTTTTGTCATATGCTACTTACGTAACTTGTGTAATCTTTGCCATATTAACAAATAATAAAACATAAACTTGCCTTTCTGGGGTCCCAGTATTCCTTCACGTGATTGTTGTATGTATCATGCATCATACCACTGTCCATGTCATGAACTAAACAATTGAAGTTCAAACAAAAAGAACAACTTAGATATTATATTCAAGAAATATAACAAAAGTTATGTTTTTAGGAAAACTACCACCTAACAGGTATAAATTCATAACACAATACTACCATACTTTATATCAGTTCTTCACAGTTTACACTACCTAAAAAAAGAACATCATTAAATGATACAAAATTTGTGAGATCATACCTAGAAACCTTTGAGGATATACAACAGCAACCGATAAGTATAAAGACTAATCAACAGCTTACCATACAAATCTTATAATTCTAATCTATAAGCAGTTAAAAGTTTGTAACTTTTGTTATGAAAGAAAGCAACAAATACCACATAACGTATCATAACAACATATACTTTACATTTTGTTTTCTTAACCAATTTCTGATAAAAATAAAACAACACCTTTATAAAACCTGAACTATAATTTAATTTCAACCATTCTGCTAGACTAGGAACCAAACGAATGAAATAAATGATCCATGAAGTTTCACTTTAATAAAACGTGTCCAAAGATTATCTTATCAAAATTGTTTTAATTGTGTTTCACAATTATTAAAGTTTAATTTGCATTAGGCCAACAGCAGTACAGTGAAGTGTGTTTAAAGAAGTACTTTGTGAGAGTTTATTAAAAACAGTTTTAACACCTCAGCAGGATAATGCACAAATGATTAAAAAATTAACTAAACATATATATACCTGACTAGTTTTGACATACCAAACTTGTACCTTAAGAATGATTATCTTGGCGTGTCAAAACTAATTGAGTTTAAGAATATTTTGTTAATTTTATAATCATTTGAAGGATGCTAAAGTTTAAAATTACCCAACTGTCTGGTAGAGATCAGACACAAAACTGAATGATGCTAAAGTTTAAAATAACCCAACTGTCTGGTATCAGACACAAAACTGAAGGATGCTAAAGTTTAAAATAACCCAACTGTCTGGTAGAGATCAGACACAAAACTGAAGGATGCTAAAGTTTAAAATAACCCAACTGTCTGGTAGAGATCAGACACAAAACTGAAGGATGCTAAAGCTTAAAATAACCCAACTGTCTGGTAGAGATCAGACACAAAACGGAAGGATGCTAAAGTTTAAAATAACCCAGAAGTTATCAAGATAAACTGAATACTTTAGAAACTGTTTACCTCGTCTTACAGGTGAGGAATTAACTCCATAAATGTTTTCTTGTGGATTCATTGCACTTTGGTGTAATGCAGAATCTGAGTTTGTTCTGAAAAATATTTCAAACAGACTATTTTATTTTTTAACTCTTCTCAAAATGGTTTTTACTAACAGGTTAACTTACAGATAAAACCTTTTTAATACAGTACTTGGTTTACTAATAGGTTAACTTACAGATAAAAACTTTTTAATACAGTACTTGGTTTACTAACAGGTTACCTTACAGATAAAAACTTTTTAATACAGTACTTGGTTTACTAACAGGTTACCTTCAGATAAAAACTTTTTAATACAGTACTTGGTTTACTAACAGGTTACCTTACAGATAAAAACTCTTTAATACAGTACTTGGTTTCTGCTTTTAAAATGATTTAACTTTTATCTTTCTTTCAAAATTCAACAGTTTAAGCACAATCTAATTAGTTAAAACAGGTTTAAAATTTACTATAAAATATCTTACTGTAAGCTTTATTCTGTTTCTTACTTGTCTTTTAAAGTAGTTTCTTAGCTGGATTCAAATATAAGAACAGGTAGTAATTAATTTCTGTTAAAGTGTAGTAATTCATATTCATAACTCATACTAAAACCTCCTGATAGACACACTTATAACTTTATTAATAGTGGTCTACTCCAACTGTACTACAAGTAAAAGTCGTGTAAACATTAAGCAATAAATGACATCAAAGTAGGACAACCACTTTAGATGTGAATTTAAAATTCACCCCAGCTCAGAACAAAAGCGGTAATGTATTAACTTAATGAAAAATGGACACACCCAACTCAATAACAATAGGTACATGTACGAGCAAGTTTACTCTGAAGCAAATTACTCGTAAAAATAACTAAGCATGTACAGGTTGTAAAGTAATAAATTATCAACAATAAATCATGAAATTATTTTCTAGATACACTGAAGAATTTTAGAATTTATTTAATATCACAAACTTAAGATAAGAAAGTATATAAAACAAGGTATTCCAAATTTTCAAAAGTTAATAAAAAAAATTTATAAGACAAAATTTACAGAATTTTCTTTACGAAACCTTGACATAGTTAAACTTTTTATAGCTCTCTCCAACAATACAAAATATTCATACATGATGTAACATTACACACAGCACATGTATGAATATAACTATCAGAAAACAGCATTACAAGTTTGGAATTAACTGCTTACCGAAAGCTATTATTCATAAGAATAAATATCAAACCATATAAATTATAACGTAACAGACAAAAATGTAATTCCAGCAACGTGATCTGTGCTTAACATCAAAAGTCCTCCATAATGAAGTCAAACTTGAAAAACAATACATTAAAAACATCACTCAAACAGGATAGAAAACAACTGTGCTAAAAACTAAGCTAATTCTGTACATGCAGGGTCATTTTTGTAATCCTATTCCTTGTGAGATTTTGGATTCACTTCTGTGGCTTACAAATAATTTCCCCCCTCCATTACAGTGCACTTGAGAAAAACAGATTTATGGAAAAAAAAAAAGAAAATTATTATTATTTATCTATATTAACTGTAATACTATACCTTCTCCAATTAGTGTCTGGAGGAGGAGAGAGATAAGCAGTTGATCCATAAGGGGAAACATCAATCTAAATGATAGGTTACGAAAATGAAACTAAAAAAATGATTTATATACATCATTTTTAATAGCTAAGCTCTAACATACAAGTAGAATATCCAATGTACATGTATTTAAATACAACATCTATGTGTTTGGTTTGTTACAAAGCCACTATCAAGGAAAGGTGTTTTTTTTTCCTTACTAAATACAGTAGATATGTAATTAAAGGGAATATCTAATTGGTAAAAGTAGATATTGGTTAATACATAGTGGGTATAGTATAGTAGTATAGAATGGATAAAGGAGTCAATGTGTTAAAATTAGTAAGTTAATAGCATATTCAAAGTAGTGAATAGGTAAACTTTAATCGGTAATATTTAATAACTGTGTATGTTCAGGATAATATATTGTTCAATAAAATCTGGTTTTGTGTCAAGTAAATAACATTCAGACTCAAACATACTTCTCTTGTACCTGTCTTATACGTATTGATATCTGTGGATTTATTTTTTGAATAGTACTGTGCACGTTAAAGATCTAGATTGTCCTCAACAGGGTGGGGCAAAATTTTTACGGAATATTACTAAGACAATTGAAACCAATTAATATTTATTTATTTAACAGTAATATGTTAGAAATTAAGCTACATTCTAAATGAAACAATTGTGTGTGTGTATATATATATATATATATATATATAGT